GGCCCTCCGGAGATCGGCCGACGGGCGGAGCGCCGAGGCTTGCAAGTACGCAGAACAGTAGCTAGGATGTGGGGTCTAGTAGTTTAGGGTTTAGGGTTTAGGGCTACTTGAAGGTTCATTCGGGTACTTCTAGGTAGGGCTACAAGTACCCAAATAAGGGTCATGACCATAGTTACCCTACTTATAACCCTACTTATACGTACCCATGAACCTCCAAGTAGGGCGACAAGTCCAGATGCCCAAAAGGGCTTGGGTTTTATCGGACAAACTTGGTAGCCCAGTGGTACCCTTTTCCCTTTGTTTTGGTTCAAGGTTCCCTTATGAAGTACTGGTTACTGGGCTGACAAGAAGAAGGAAACGGGCTGTTCTCAAAGAGAGCTGCGGGTTGAAAAAGGGTTTACGGTTTAGGGTTTACGGTTCAGGGTTTAGGGTTTTTGGGAAAAGCTTGCGGGGTTGGAGTTCTGAAAAGCTTGTGTGGGTCTGGGATTCGAGTGTTCGGGCTTTAGGCAGACGGCGAACCAAAAAAACCCTAAACCATACAAGGAACCCCCAAAAAACCCCAAACCATACAAGGAACACCAAAACACCCCTGAACCATACAGGGAACCCCAGCTTTCAAAGACGACCTGGTTAGTCCAAGGCTCAGTTTGGATTTGATATAATATGTGTGTTTATATATATATATACTAATATACATACATATATATATATATGTATATATATAATATATTATAGAGTGCCGAAAGGATGATCGCACACTTTAGAAGAAGCATGACGAAGCCCTGCGTGACACCGAACTAGCATGGGGTTTACGGGTTAGGGTTTCAAGGTAAACCCTAAGTCCCCTAAGTCCTCTAAGCAGGTTACAAGTAGACGTATATTTGGGGTTACAAGTACCCATGAACCTTCACGTAAGGTCTTCAAGACGATCCTCAAGTCCGAGAGGACCGAGACGGCAGCTGGCACTGCAAATAAGGAGTGTAGGGTTTATTGCTTGGGGTGTAGGGTTTAGGGCTTAGGGCCTAGGGCTTAGGGTTTAGGGATGCTAAACCGAAGCAGAGCTTAGAGCCTTTGCTGTTCTCCTTGAGCTGTGACCTACCATGGCAGAAGAAGCGTAGCTCCACGCAACGAAGCCAACTTAAGGGTTTTCATCAGCTCGGGTTTATGGCGCAAGTTGTTTGTGGGGGGTCATGTTGCTGCAGCTCACCTGTCAGGATGACATGCGTGCACAAACCCCGACAGTAAACCCTAACACCGAAACACTACACCATGTACCACCTTAAATGGCCCATAACCGTCGAAACATCTTAAAAACTTCGGCTGGAGGACTGGCGTCGCCACTTTCAGGAACTGCTTGGCCTGGCCGAGCCACCCAGCTCCTGGGGGCTTGCAATACCCCCCCCCCCCTCCCCCACCCCCAAGTTTTCAGGGTTTAGGGCTGAGGACTTAGGGTTTAGGGTTTAGGGCTTAGGGTTTAGGGTTTCCCATCTCAGGCTTAGGGTCTAGGCTTGAGGGCTCAGGATACTGTAAACGCCACTGCAGGTCGGCAAAGTTGGGGGCCAGGTAGGACGGCCTAGGGTTTAGGTGTAGGGTTTAGGATTGAGGATTTTTAAGGTTTGGGGGCTTAGGGTTTATAAGGTGAAAAAGAAGGGGGGTGGGGATGGGGCCGGGGCCAGCAGCCAACCCAATATTCTCCAACAGCACAAGCCCCACACCTCCAAACCCCGAAGCCCCCCCGAAAACCCATAAGCCCCTAAACCCCCAAACCCCAAGTCCCCAAAACATACATCTCCAAGCCCTAAACCCCCAACCCCCCCCAACCCCAAACCCGAAACCCCGAAACCCCAAACCCGAAGCCCCGAAGCCGAAGCCCCGAAGCCCAAGCCCCGAAGCCCAGCTCAGGACTTTGGTGGGCTTATGGCCGACGCGATTCTGCCCGCGTCCATGCGCCACGCGGCCGCATGAACGGTCGGTGAGCACGAAGCCATCAGCCTCTCTGTATCTCTGTCTTTCCCTCTTCTCCCTCTCCCCCTCTCTTTGCATGAGCAGACGTATGGAAGTAGATGTGGAGAATAACTATGCGTATAGATACAAATACAAGAGATAGAAGCGTACGTGCGTACTATGCGTGAGGTTAAATATACTAGGCATATGTGCATGTGTTTTGTGTTGTGTAGATAGCTCACTTGTCTGCTTCTACATATAGATATCAGTGTTTACACGAACAGTATACTTGCCCGTGATGGTGTGCAAACGTGCCCTGAAACATGATACGAAACCCGAAATCCTAAACCTTGTGGAGATGCGAGGCCTAACACTAAGCCCAAAGTCACTAAAGGGGTCAGGGCTTGTTTCTCTAACTTTGCCATGCACTCTTTTGCAAAGAACGCATAAACTTGCATGCCTGGCAGGCGGAAGTGCAAGTAAGGCCAAAGAAGGGTCTAGATACACTTGGGCCCTGAGTAGGCCCGTAATTCCCCGTTTTAGGGCCTAGGTTCCCTCATAAGCCTGTTAACCCAAAATGGTACCCTGCTTATTCCTAGGTTGCCCTAAACCCTAAACATCCCTAAACCCTATTCCGAGGTTACTCTTGGGTCTAGGTGTAGCTCTAAGCTCGGAGCCTGGGCCTGTGAGTTCCCGTTGCTAAGCCTTGAACTCAAGGGCCGAACCATAGGTTTGGGGTTTAGGGTTTAGGGTTTAGGGTTTAGGGTTTAGGGCTAGGGCTGGGGTTTAGGGTTTAGTTTAATTAGGGTTCAGGGTTTAGGGTTTGAACCAGCCAAACAAGCACCTCTATCTGCAGCTTCGGGTTCTTCTTTAAAAGAGCTCCGCGCTTGCCTCGGTCCTAGGTTCCGATTGCTGAGTTCGGGCTCGGCATCGGCATGGCCCACTGCAGCTAAGGTCTCGGCGGTTGGCGTGCATCATGTGGTTTACTTGGAGGTTCATGGGCAGTAGAAAGTAGGGTAACTAAACCCTAAACCCTAAACCCCAATTAAAAGGTAGGGTAACTAAACCCCAAACCCCAAACCCTAACGGAGAGACCTGCAAACAGCAGCGCCGACGACGAGCCGCCTGGGTCGAGACATGTTGCTGCAAGCGGCAGCGCTGGCCGCACCGTGGAGTGTGGAGACGCGAGAAGCGCGTTTCTACTCGGCTGATGAGGGCTTCGGAGACAAGAAGCTCTACACGTATGGGGTGCCCGAGATTGCATGCGCACTTGGTGTACGGCCAGGCACAGCGCTGGAGATTATCGGCGCGATCTATGGCTTGACGACAATTTTTACGTGCAGAGCCGAACTCACAAACAAACGACAGGGGCCGTTGGAAGGCAGAGGAAGTCCGACCTGAAAATGCAGCTGCAAGGATGCAACTGCCTAGGGACCGTACTTGAAGGCTACTTGTAAGTCGGTTTTAGGGGTGCAGGGGTGTAGGAGTTAGGGTTTAATGTTTATAGGGTTTAGGGATTAGGGTTTAGGGTTTAGGGCTACGTGAAGTTTCATGGGTACTCATAAGGAGGGCAGGGTGATCTAGGTACCCTAAGCAAAGTTCTGCTAGAACCACACTTACTCTACTTATAACCCTATTTGTCAGTACCCATGAACTGCCTACTTGGAGGTTCACGGTACTCATTAAAATCATAGCTGCACTTATACCTGTGTTTTCAACCCTTTTGGGCCACTTAGGGGGCTTAGAAGTGGGTTATAAGTACAGTTCAGTTATAACTTTTTAATAAGTACCATAACCTCCAAGTACACAGCCAGTTCCTGAAGTGATTGTATCGGACTGGGCCGCCTATAGAGACAGAGAGAGGGAGAGAGAGAGAGAGGCGCTGCCTTATGGCCACTGTTCATTTTTGGGTTTAGGGTTTATAGGGTTCCCTAAACCCTAAACCCTAACCCTTAAACCCTACACCCTAACCCCTAAACCTAGAGACCTGAGCTGGCCGGATACCACAAGATCAATGGAGGGTAGTTGAGCCTGAAACCCAACATCTTCCCCCCCCCCCCCCCCCCCCCAGGCCTTGAAGCCTGGAATAGCCTTACCTGCTGGTTCTTGGTAGGGAATTAGAGAATTAGGGTTTACCGTTTCTTAGGGTTTAGGGAAGTACAATCCCGTCAGGGTTCATACATAGGGGGATACAAGGTGCCGAATTCCCTCATTCCCTGCTAAGAACCAGTAGCTTCAGGGCCCAAGTATCTGCTATACGTGCATACGGACTCCTACTGTGGGTTCTAAACCCTAAACCCTAAACCCTAAACCCTAAAACAACACGAAAGACACGAACGCAAAATCGGCGTCTGGGTAGGTCGTCCCCTTGGATGCCGATGGCGGCCTTGCCGCGGGAGGGGCAAAGACCAGAGGCAGATGTTGATTCAGAACTCAGGGTTTCAGGGCTTACTTTATTTTTATTTTTTATTTTACTTTACTTTATGTTTTCTACTTTAGTTTATTTTGTTTTACTTTTTAAACTCATTTTATCTTACTTTATTGCTATTTGTTTTAATATTTGTAACTTTGTTTTACTTTACTTGATTGTATTTTATTTGTATTTTGTTTTATTTTTGTTTTATTTCATGGTTCTTTGTTGTATTTTAGTTTTTTTCATGTTGTTAATTGGGTTATAGCGTGCGTGTGTGTATAGGTGCTCCGGAGTTCAGGGTTTAGGGATGTTGATATGTCCTGAAGCAAAAGGGATGTTGATATGTGCGTTTCTGTTTGTACATGTATTTGTGGGCCTGCACAAACATCGCACGTAAAAAATGTGCGTTAACACGCGCGTGTGCATATATACAGAGAGAAAGAGAGCAAAAAGAGAGAGAGAGAGAGAGAGAGAGAGAGACAGAGAGAGAGAGAGAGAGAGCGAGAGAGAGGGAGTGGGAGATATGGAGAAAGAGAGGTTTCCATTTACCGCGTGCTACAGGCTTTCAGTCGCATTCAGAATCATCTAGCATCAGCGTGCAGAGGCGACCTTCTGCGCGAGGAGATTGACGCAGTGATCCAGAATGCTCCCAGGCCCGGCAGGAGAACCTGCAATATGCAAAACGTCGCATTTACAGCTTGTACGCCATACTACAGCAAACCCTAAACCCTAAACCCTAAACCCTAAATCCTAAACCCTAAACCCTAAACCCTAAACCCTAAACCCTAAACCCTAAACCCTAAACCCTAAACCCTAAACCCTAAACCCTAAACCCTAAACCCTAAACCCTAAACCCTAACCCCTAACCCCTAACCCCTAAACCCCTAAACCCTAAACCCTACCTACAGCTGCCTGTCGACACCCGCTGCAAGACGTGAGGCCTGCGTCCAACTCTGCAGAGCCCCTCTCAGAGGCCCATGGGGGGGGGGGGGGGGGGGGGGGGAGGCGATTCGTGCTTCAAACCTAAACCCTCAAGGGTTTAGGGTTTAGGGTTAGGGTTTAGGGTTTAGGGAAGTTAGGGTTTACTTCTCATCTAGTTCCGGCCGGAGCCTTAGCAGTCCTGTGTTAAGAAAGGGCTGTTGCTCCTCAAAAAGCACGAGCCCCCCGAACCTAACCTGCTCGGGTTTCGGGCGCAGGGTTGTTGCAAGGCTTAAGGGGTATAAGGAGGGACCCCTAGAAGGCCCTCTAACGTTACAGCCCCTATATACCGAACTAGCCCCTGAATACCCCCTAAGTTCCCTTATAAGGGTCCCTCCTTCAGTCCCTTGAGACCTTGAACCAAAAAACGGGAGATAAGGCCAGCAGTGGGCTCCTAAGTAGGGCCTAAGAGTATCCCAGGCAAACCCCTGTTACCACCCCAAACCCCAAACCCTAAACCCCAAACCCCAAACCCCAAACCCCAAACCCCAAACCCCAAACCCTAAACCCTAAACCCTCCTCGCTTTTTGGGGGGCCCTCCTTGGGTCCCTTGAAAGGTGTCCTGGGTTTAGGGTTTAGGATCTAGGGTTTAGGGTTCAGAGTTTAGGGTCCCTAAGCCCCCAAAGCCCCAATTGTGGAGAGCTTGCAGGTTGCGGCCGGAATCGCTGGCCAGCCTCTTTGCTTCGGGTTTAGGGTTGACGTCTTGGGCCTTGGGGTTTAGGGTGGAGGGCCTATTTTTTTGGGTCTTTTTTTTTTTTTTTTTGGGGGGCCTTTTTTTTTTTTTTTGGTCGATTTTCTTGGTTTTTCCTAAGAAAACCACCATTCCCTCCATATTTTTAAAGGATTTGATGCATTTTCGTGGTTTTTTGTACGAAAAACAGTAATTTCTCTGTGGTTTCATAGGAAAGCGTTATTTCTGGTACGTTTTAGAAGGAAAGAAGGAAAGAAAGGAAGGAAGGAAGGAAGGATGAAAGAAAGGAAGAAAACAAGGAAGGAAGGAAGGAAGGAAGAAAGGAGGGAAGGAAGAAAGGAAGGAAACAAGGAAGGAAGAAAGGAAGGAAGAAAGGAAGGAAGCAAGGAATGAAGAAAGGAAGCGTGCTTCGAAGCCCAAGAAACTAGTTGAAAAACATCGTGTGAGCATTGTGTTTGCAAATGGGGGGGGCTGCGCCCCCCCCAACCCCCCCGCTTTTTTTGTTTTTTTTTTAAGCCGTGCAGAGCGTGCGTGCTTCAAAGCCCAAGAAACTTGTTGACACCCATCATGTGAGCAGGGTGTTTGCAAATGGTGGGGGGGGCTGCACCCCCCCCAACCCCCCGCTTCTTTTAAGCCGTACCAAGCGTGCTTCAAAGCCCAAGAAACTAGTGGAAAAACATCGTGTGAGCATTGTGTTTGCAAATTGGGGGGGGGGCTGGCGCCCCCCGCTTTTTTTAAGCTGTGCAGAGCGTGCTTCAAAGCCCAAGAAACTTGTTGACACCCATCATGTGAGCATGGTGTTTGCAAATGGGGGGGGGCTGCGCCCCCCCCAACCCCCCCCGCTTCTTTTAAGCCGTACCAAGCGTGCTTCAAAGCCCAAGAAACTAGTTGAAAAACATCGTGTGAGCATTGTGTTTGCGAATTTGGGGGGGCTGCGCCCCCCCCAACCCCCCCGCTTTTTTTTTAAAGCCGTGCAGAGCGCGCTTCAAAGCCCAAGAAACTTGTTGACACCCATCATGTGAGCAGGGTGTTTGCAAATGGGGGGGGGCTGCGACCCCCCCCAACCCCCCCCGCTTCTTTTAAGCCGTACCAAGCGTGCTTCCCAACCCAAGAAACTAGTTGAAAAACATCGTGTGAGCATTGCAAATGGGGGGGGCTGCGCCCCCCCCAACCCCCCCGCTTCTTTTAAGCTGTACCAAGCGTGCTTCAAAGCCCAAGAAACTAGTTGAAAAACATCGTGTGTGCATTGTGTTTGCAAATGGGGGGGGGCTGCGCCCCCCCCAACCCCCCCGCTTTTTTTAAGCCGTGCAGAGCGTGCTTCAAAGCCCAAGAAATTTGTTGACACCCATCATGTGAGCAGGGTGTTTGCAAATGGGGGGGGGGGGCTGCGCCCCCCCAACCCCCCCCCGCTTCTGTTAAGCCGTACCAAGCGTGCTTCAAAGCCCGAGAAACTAGTTGAAAAAAAAGTATGAATCCGATGAAAATATAGAGTGAATGATAGAAACCAAGAAAACGAACCAAATAGGGTTTTCCCTAGGACAAACTAAGGAAAAGCAACGTACGCTTTGACGTTTGACGAAATCCGTCCAAAATGTAATCAGAAGAGGGTTTCCTTAGGAAAAACGAACGAAAACCTCGTTTTTTTCAAGCCGTGCAGAGCGTGCTTCAAAGCCCAAGAAACTTGTTGACACCCGTCATGTGAGCATGGTGTTTGCAAATGGGGGGGGGGCTGCGCCCCCCCCCAACCGCCCCCCCCGCTTCTTTTAAGCCGTACCAAGCGTGCTTCAAAGCCCAAGAAACTAGTTGAGAAACATCGTGTGAGCATTGTGTTTGCAAATGGGGGGGGGCTGCGCCCCCCCCAACCCCCCCGCTTTTTTTAAGCCGTGCAGAGCGTGCTTCAAAGCCCAAGAAACTTGTTGACACCCATCATGTGAGCAGGGTGTTTGCAAATGGGGGGAGGCTGCGCCCCCCCCAACCCCCCCCGCTTCTTTTAAGCCGTACCAAGCGTGCTTCAAAGCCCAAGAAACGAAGGAAATGACAGGATATCTGTCCAAAATGTAAGGAAAATAGGGTTTTCCCCCTAGGAAAACCAAGGAAAACCTAAGGGAAATTACAGGAAATCCGTCCAAAATGTAAAAAAATAGGTTTTTCCCTATGAAAAACCAACGAAAACCTCAGGGAAATGACAGAAAATCCGGCCAAAATGTAAGGAAAGTAGGGTTTTTCCTAGAGAAAACCAAGGAAATCGACCAAAAAAAAAAAAAAAAGGCCCCCCCCCAAAAAAAAAAGACCCAAAAAAAAACTCCACCCTTTTAGGGTTTAAGGTTTGGGGTTTGGGGTTTGGGGTTTAGGGTTTACTGTTTAGGGCTTAGGGAAAGCAAACAAAGGGTTTGGGGGGGCGTCGGCGGTGGCTTCTAGGGGCTTCTTCCGGGAGGCCCATTCTGGTGGATCTCCAGTTGCAAAGTTCCGGCGATAGTGTGTGGGGCCAACGACTACCATGTGCAGTCTTGGTGTGGTCCTTAGCTGAATCTTGGTAGACCCTAAACCCTAAACCCTAAACCCTGTGGTCGTTATCTGAATCTCGGTAGCCCCTCAGGTCTGGGTGGAAAGAGGATCTTGCTCAGGAACACTGCTCAACAGCATTTACAATGCCAACTCAGGTATTGTCGGGGTTGGGGTGGCCCTAAACCCTAAACCCTAAACCCTAAACCCTAAACCCTAAACCCTAAACACAAGGAAGGGACCCTGAGCCCCAAAACCCTTATCGAATTCAGGGTTTCGGGTTAAGCAAGAGTTTTTGCCACTTTGCCCTAAGGGTCCATGCACCTATGTAGTCTATACTCGGACCTGAAAGCTACGAAGTAGAACCCCCTTTCCGGCCCAAGTATCTACTACATAGGTACATGGGGCTCTTTGGGTTGGGTTTTGGGCCCCAAAGCTGCACCCTAAGCCCTAAACCCTAAACCCTAAACTCTAAACCCTAAACCCTAAACCCTACTAAAGCCCAAAGCCCTTGTGGCAAGCCATAGGCTCTCCCATCTCCTGGTGCACGCGCTCTCGCAGCCCATGGCCGGCGCGGAAGTCGTCATCGCGCCAAACGCAGGACAGTGCACCCTTGACCCTATATAACCCTAATACCCTGTAGCACTATAATAGTACTCCCAGAACCCTAAGAACCCTAGAACCTTACTAGCCCATAACCCTAGAACCGTAATAACCCTAGAACCCTATAACCTTACTAACCCTATAACCCTAGAACCCTAAGAACCCTTATAACCCTCAACCCTAGACAGTGCCGAGCAAGCCCTTCACTAAGCTGTCTGACGGGCTTGGCGGGTGACACGCAATTCCTAAGCCGGGCCGCAAGCGCCAAGACACGTAAGCCAAAATCTTCACTCTTGGGGTTTAAGTAGGGCCTAGGGTTTAGGGTTTAGGGTTTAGGGTTTTGAGTACTTGAAGTTGCATGGGCACTTTTTAGTAAGGCGATGCGTACCCCAAATAAGGCTGTCAGCGTACTTGCCCTACTTACGACTACTCAATAGGGCTTTAGGTAGGATTCTTGTTTTACCTTCTTTTGTACTTATATGGATCCTTAGAGCCTCCAAGCCAGATCGAAGGCTGCCCATGCACATACGAGTCGAAGTAGTCTTTCAGTGAAACCCTCCCACCATTTCAGAACTGGTCTAAGTTCAGGGCTTGGCTTTGGGCTTAGGGTCTAGGTTGGTTGCAAAGGGCTTGCGGAACCCTAAGCCCTAAAACCCTTCGCCCACCCCAGCACAGGGTCATTGTTCGGTTCCCTCTTGATCAGAGGTCCCTTGATCATGAGAGCTGCGCAATTTTGAACTATGGGTCCCTAAAACACCGTGGCCGGGCAGCCGACCAGTGTCATACGAACCTTACGTAGCCCCAACACCTTACTTCGTGACTCCTATCGAGCAACCCCCCCAAAAGAGAACCTGCAAACAAAAAGCCCTAGATGCCTCTAACGTCTGCACCAATCTCCAAGCCTTCTGAAGCCTTGAGCCATCTTGCAGTTTGCGAGCGGAGAGGCCTGCAGAGCTGGGCCAGGGGTGACGTGGCTCCGCGGCCCGGAGGGCTTGGGGTTTAGGGTTTAGGGTTTAGGGTTTAGGGTTTAGGGTTTAGGGTTTAGGGTTTAGGGTTTAGGGTTTAGGGTTTAGGGTTTAGGGTGGGGTTTGGGGTTTAGGGTTTATAGGGTTTAGCAGAAAGCGTTGGGCGTGCTGGGAAAGTCTCCTCCGGCAATGTCCGACAAGAAATTGCCCATACCTCCACCAAACGATTACACGAGGTCATAGGTCTTTGTTTGGTCCCTTTAGGCCTAAACCCTAAGCCCTAACCCCCGTCCCCCAATCCTCAACTCGGCCCATCGGGGGAGGAGACATGGAGGTTGATGCCTAAGTTGCAGACCACATTGGAGGGATAGGAGGGCTTGGGGACACTGCGTCAGAGAAGGGTGAGGGTTTAGGGTTTAGGGTTGTTGAGGGTTTAATTGGGGTTCTGCAGGTTTAAGTTTTAAGTTAAGGTGGGGGTCGGTTGTGTAGGAGGAGTCTCATTCCTTTAGGGTTTGGGTTTAAGGTTTAAGGTTTAGGGTTTAGGGTTTAGGGTTTAGGGTTTAGGGTTTAGGGTTTAGGGTTTAGGGTTTAGGGTTTAGGGTTTAGGGTTTAGGGTTTAGGGTTTAGGATGTCAGTTGATTTTGGTTGGCTCTTTGCAAGGGGAGGCAATGAGATGCGTGTGGGCCTGCACAAATCTGAGTTTGGGCTCCGGGATTCAGTCAAGCAAGCAGTAGCTCCGTGAAGCTTTTCCTAGACGGGTGGCAAGAATAAGTTTCTAGATTGGGATGCCATGAATCCTTTGTGGTACTTTACCGTAACTTTAGATCCTTACCTTTTTTGGGTTTATTGGGTTTCTTAGTAAGGCAGCTAAAAGTTGAATTTATAGCTACCCTGAGTGCAGCCAAGAATCGGAACCCACTCGCCACCCTGAACCCAGTCACCTTCTGGGACTGGCTTAAGGTTTAAACCCGAAGCCCTAAGAGCCCTAATCCCTGAACTGAAACCCTAAACCCTAAACCCTAAACCCCAACCCCTAACCCCTGAACCCTGAACCCTGAACCCTGAACCCTGAACCCTGATCGCGAACCCTAAACCCTCAGGTTCTACCTCGCCCCGACCTCGCACACAGGAGTCCCTATCCGCGGTTGAAGAGGGTTTCGCCGGTTTAAGGGTTTAGCCTGTTTAGGGTTTACGGCTTAGGGCTTAGGGGTTAGGCTTTAGGGTTAGCCCCTTACTTCTCAGCTTCTGGAATCCTTTTTACCACTGAGCAACACCGAGAAAAACAAGAGAGAGAAGCATGCATTAAAACCCTAGACCCTAAACCCTAAACCCTAAACCCAGGCAAACCCATCATAGGCCGTCCCAAAAGGAACTGGCCGCAGAAAACGCCGGGCCACCTGGCTTAGAGAGAACTTTCAGAAGGTTTGCCTTGGGATGTTCCCCCTTATACTGACAGTCCTTACTAGGGATTATAAGTAGCCCCGATGATAAGCCCTATTATCGACTGGTAGTACAAGGGGAACATCCAAACCCTAAACCCTAAACCCCAAACCCCAAACCCCAAACCCCAAACCCCAAACCCCAAACCCCAAACCCTAAACCCTAAACCCTAAACCCTAAACCCTAAACCCTCTGAAAGCTGAATGCAGCCAGGGGGGGGCCCTCAGAAGGCTTTCCCCCGCAGCTCAGGTTCAGGTAACCTCCCTGGAGCTCATGGCACCTGACGGCCAGGCCACGGTGCGCGGCCTGCATTGGCAACTGACCCGAAACCCTAAACCCTAAACCCTAAACCCTAAACCCTAATGTTGACTTCGCATTCATAAACCCCCCCCTTGATTGATCAATCTCTCCGGCCAGGGCCTCCTCAATTATATTCGCCTAAATCCTGGTAGGACGTACTATTAGTTTTAGTATTAGGTAGTAGCACCACGCCCGTAAAAAAAAAATATTCCGGGCTGGATTTTATAATTGTGGGGGGTTACATTATTGTAGCGGGAATCATTAATGTGAAGTCAACATTAAACCCTAAGCCCTAAGCCCTAAGCCCCAAGCCCCAAGCCCCAAGCCCCAAGCCCCAAGCCCTAAGCCCTAAGCCCTAAACCTGAACCCTGAACCCTTAACCCTGAACCCTAAACCCTAAACCCTAAACCCTATACCCTAAACCCTACTCTCTCGACGAGTCAAGATGTGTCGGGGATCAAGGCATTCGTCTCCCGTGCATTGACGTGACCTCTTGGAGATCCTGGCTACACCTTTCTACTTTGTAGTAGAGTGGGTAACTTTGTTTTACCCTAAACCCTAAACCCTAAACCCTAAACCCTAAACCCTATTTTTATAAATTTTCTCTACATGCTCCGGTTAACCTTTAGTTCCCTTGGGATACTGGACAACGAAGTCTAGCCGAAGACTTCTACTGCGAGCAGATGCGGAATCCCTTTGGGCCCTACACCCTCAAATCCTTGTCACCCTAAACCCTAAACCCTAAACAGCCCTAAACCCTAAACCCTAAGCCCTAAACCCTAAACCCTAAACCCTAAACCAGCCATGAAATCAAAGGTGTTGGATCCGAGACGCCCGGTTTTTGTCGTGGCGTCCGCCATTCCGCGTGAGGAGATGCGCAGCTTCTTGGAGCAGTGCTGCTTGGATTTAGGGTTTAGGGTTTGGGGTTTGGGGGCATTGAGGCCTCAGGGTTAATTTATGGAGGCTTACACTGGGTAGCCCAGTGGTACCCTTTTCCCTTTTTTTTGGTTCAAGCTTCCCTTATAGAATAACCAACCCAAAAAGGGCGCCCTTATTAGAATATGGTTTCTGGGCTACCAAGTACAGTAAACTCCAGAAAGTTGGAACATGGCTTAAGGATGATTCGAGCTATGAGTCCCTTGAGTATGCCTTTAGGGTTTAGGGTTTAGGGTTTAGGGTTTAGGGTTTAGGGTTTAGGGTTTAGGGTTTAGGGTTTAGGGTTTAGGGTTTAGGGTTTAGGGTTTAGGGAGAAAGATGTTCCAACTTTTTGAAGTGTACTCTATCGGTTTATAGAGTTTACAGGGCTTAGGGTTCTGCAAGTAGCTTGCAAGAGCTCCTAGGAATTGTCATGGTCACTTCTAATAGGGGCTGACTTGTAGTAAGGACATTTTGGCGAAGTGACCAAATGGTCAGTTCTCAAACTTAGGGCCCTCTTGGGGGTACCCTACATAAGAGGCCGCCATAGATAAAGGACCCCAAAACGCTAAACCCTAAACCCTGAACCCTTATTGCAATATGGTTACTGGACTACTAACCCCAAACCCCAAACTCCAAACCCTAAACCCCAACCCTAAACCCCTAAACCCTAAACCCTAAACCCTAAACCCTAAACCCTAAACCCTAAACCCTAAACCCTAAACCCTAAACCCTAAACCCTAAACCTTTGTTCTAATATGGCTACTGTGCTAAAAAAGATGTAGACCTGAGGCGAGAGAGAGGTCGTGGCCACTGGCGACCAGAGCATCGCCGAAGCGGTGCTCCTTGTGGCTTGGATCGTTTTAGGGTTTAGGGTTTAGGGTTTAGGGTTTAGGGTTTAGGGTTTAGGGTTTAGGGTTTAGGGTTTAGGGTTTAGGGTTTAGGGTTTCGGGTTTCGGGTTTCGGGTTTCGGGTTTCGGGTTGGATGGAAGTCTTGGACCCCAGTTACCATGGGGACCACAGGAACCCGAAAAGTGTTAATGGTTCATTTTACCGTAATGGGAATCATAGTAGGATAGGGTTTCTGACACCAATTCGGGTGGCATCCAAAACGGCTCTACGGCTTAGAGCGTAGATGGTGCCCGCAACTAACACAAAGGAAGCCACAACCGATGTCTCCGGGCTTCATAGTGACGCACATTTTGTTTCAGCAGCGCAACATAGCGCAACACCACTTGATCTGGTACATAAAGCCAGATGTTCAAGATGACTTGGCTGGTGCGGGCAGGGCCACCATTAGGGAGCACAGGGTCTCGCTGAGCTTTTCAAAAGTCGGTTTAGGGTATGAGGGTTTGGGGTTTAGGGTGTTTAGGGTTTCGGGTCAAGAAACCTCACAGTCCAACGATGGGTTCCAGTCATGTGAGCACACCGCATGGCTTGCGATTTTAGGGTAACCCTAAACCCTAAACCCTAAACCCTAAACCCTAAACCCTAAACCCTAAACCCTAAACCCTAAACCCTAAACCCTAAACCCTAAACCCTATCCCTCTTATACTAGCAGTCTTTCATAGCAAGGCATGGGGCTTAGGCCCCCCATGTGCTACTCAAGGGGCATAAGCAGGGCTTGTTCCCCTATACAACCCCTATATGGCCCCTTTCTATACCTAAGTAGCCGCTAAGTAACCCCTAAACAACCCCTACGGTCCCTTGCAAGGGTCCCTCCTCTAGTCCCTTGAGCTGCGCTTTTCAGGGCAAACTCCCCTTTACAGCGCCGGATGCCAAAGCTGCCTGGACCAACAGACTCGTGAAGACCCTAAACCCCAAGCCCTAAACCCTAAATCCTAAACCCTACACCCTAAACTTTGGCCCCAAACCCTAAACCCTAAACCCTAAACCCTAAACCCTAAACCCTAAGCCCTAAGCCCTAAGCCCTAAACCCTAAACCCTAAACCCTAAACCCTAAACCCTAAACCCTAAACCCTAAACCCTAAACCCTAAACCCTAAACCCTAAACCCTACCCTAAACCCTCGCCTGCCTTGCGCGAGTGTGAGAGCCGAAACAAACTCCTAGACCGTACTCCTCGTATTGGGTGGGAAAACGTTCCGCTGTAGTTTGAGTCCAGTGAAGCCGAAGCTAGCCCGAACCTTGTGAATAACATAGGAGGAGTAGTTCGAGTAGTTAGTACCCTTTTTTTACATAAGGACTACAAGGGGAGAATGTAACTGTACGTGCGCCGCGTGCAGTGTGGTGAGCCTTTGTCAGACAGAGTTCGCCAGTTCGCCAGATGGTTCTGCTGCAGGTCCATTGACGGTTCCCACGCCGTTGAGAATCGCCGGCGTAGCCCAACAGTTATAACATTTAGTCTTCTTTTCGTTTCCCCTAGGACGCGAAGCTACTCAGCCACTTTCCCTGCCCATCCCACTTCTACCTCGCCGGAGTCCGGGGCTTGTGAAGCAGTCGAGGGGTTTGGGTTGACACGGACACTTGAGAGTTCATGGGTCTTTGTGTGTTCTTTGAGGAGACACACCATGCCCCACCTTGCCATAAACCCTAAACCCTGAACCCTGAACCCTAAACCCTAAACCCTAAACCCAAAAGAAGGGGGGCTTTAGGCCCAAAAACCAGGGTTTTTGGGGCCCAAGGTTGCCTCCTGGCGCGCAGCTCTCGACGCGGCCGCCAACGGCGTCGAACACGTGCCCGTGCCCACGCTCAATTCAGGGCCTAAACCCTAAACCCTAAACCCTAAACCCTAAACCCTAAACCCTAATCCCCCCAAACCCCCAAGCCCCTAAGGCCATCTCTCCTTCGGAAAAGAATTTATTTGTGGCGGATTCCCAAGCTTGTGAGATCATTTTTGTGTGTCCTTTTCTTTCACTTAAACTGTCACCTGTTGTTCAACCGAAACCACAAATTGAATCCTGAGAGTATGCTGTTTGTTGTCGTACAAAGTTGAAGATAGTTCAAAACACCGTCTTGCGCTGGAATACTTACTTGAATGCTGTGAGTTAAATCGTTGATTGTTCTGTGCGTGTTCTATTGTTTCAGGTTGGTCTTACTTCTGGCAGGCTGAAGTCCCACGTGCCCAGAAATCTTAGGCTCAAAATCGCACATAGGTCATGTCAGTTCTTCTTGTGCTTGGAGAAGCCCTAAACCCTAAACCCTAAAAAGCTATTATCCTGGCCTTGAGGGTCGAAGGTTTAGGGCTGTGCAAAAGGGTTTGGGGTTTAGGGTAAGTCTAGGGTTCGGGGTTTAGGGCTTCGGGTTTAGGGTTTAGGGGTTAGGGTTTAGGGTTTGGGGTTTAGGATCTTGAAACCCGGCCAAGGACCTGGGCCAGACGCTCCGGGACTTGGTGGGCAATGAGGCCATCGCTTGTCGGCTTCCGTTCTCTTCTCCTACCCTTTCGGCTTAGGGTTTAGGGTTTAGGGTTTAGGGTTTAGGGTTTAGGGTTTAGGGTTTAGGGCTAGCACCATGAGCACCTTCAAGCGATCCTTTGGGTTTGGGTTTAGGGTTTGCTGGGAGGCTCATGGGTAGCTACAAGTAGGGTTAGAAGAAGGGCAGCTACGGTTAGAACCTTGTTAGGGCAAATACATATGGCGTACTTATAAGGACCCACGAGCCTCCAAGTACAGTGCCCATTCGGAGTTCTGCGTATACCGAAGAGGAAGGTCTACAAAATCCACTCTTTTCTGTTATAACTCCACTTCTAACTGTGCAATATAGCCATATTAGGGCACTTAAAGGGGCCTATAAGTGGGTTATAAGTACAGGTATCATTGGTTAATGAGTACCATGAACCTCCAAGTACCTTCTTGAGCCGGCAGCCCGACTGTGCCCCATGCCAGTTGTGTTAGGCGTTGTGGTCTTTGATTTCCCTAAACCTTAAGAACCTAAACCCTTCAAACCTTAAGCCCTAAATGCTTGTATTGCTTAAACCCTTCTAAAGCTGAAGCCCAACACCCCATTTCATCAACCTCAAGTCAGGGAGATGCCTTAAACGATGTAGGGCCCCCTCATGTTGGGAAATTCGTTGGTTGTACCCTAAACCCTAAACCCTAAACTCTAAACCCTAAACCCTAAACCTAAGCCCTAAACTAGCACAATGTAAGCACGCGAATCGGCGGCTTCCCGGAGCTTTGGGCCTGGAAAATCGTTCTTCGTAGTACAAATATTCAAAACCCTACACCCTAAACCCTACACCGTTTAGGGTTCAGGATTTAACTAGGGTTTAGGGTTTAGGGTTTAGGGTTTGAAGAGAGCTTGCAACAGGAGTTCTCCCAAAACCATACTTGGGACATTCCTGCCGGAATTTTCCGGTACTGACACCCCCCGTTTTTGGACTGTCAGCCTCCAGACAGCCAAAACTACTGGAATTCGTGCATTGAAAATAAGCTTTTGGACCAAAATCCCGGCTGTGACGCCCTCTTCATAAATGTTGCCTCAACACTGAGGGGCTGAGGGCAGTATAGTTTGTTTAACAAGAGCGAACCTTAGATGCAACGGAAGTCAAGAACCCTAGCCAAATCAAAATCATTCCTGTTTCTCAGTCGGGAACTGGGAAAATTTATATAGGTGCCCGATATTTACAACCCTTTGACGTGTAGTATTCTTTGGGGCGGTCTGTGGTGCCTAGTTCCGCCAAGAGCTAGTATAGGGTTTAGGGTTTAGGGTTCGGGGTCAGTCTTCTCCCGGGGCAGGCTCTTCGAGCTCAGTATGTGGAAGCCTCCCGTCGTCATGGTCATGTGGCTGCAGTAACCCTATACCCTTAACCAGGACGGCTTAGGAGCTTAGTTGACCCTACCGCGAAGAATTCCACCCAAATACAGAGATTTCAATCTCTACAACATCCTTTTGACTGGAGTTTTTGGGGATTATGTAGGTAATGTAGGGATTATTTTACACTACATGACCCTCAAAGGAAGAATGTGTTATATGTATTTATTTATTTTTGTTGGGGTGGGGTTAACAAATGTTAGGAAGAGAAGTCGTCTTTCAAAGGGCATCATGCTGGGCACTTGGTGCTGGTGTTGTGCACCAGGTTCATTGGGGATAGTCGCCGGGTTGCACGGCTCTGGTTCGTCGTGTCCGCTTGCACACAGCATCCATACCCTAAGCCCCAAACCCTTTTTAACAACCCTGAACCCTGAACCCTGAACCCCTAAATCCTAAACCCTAAACCCCTAAACCCCAAACCCTTTCACACCAAAGAAATAACTCAACCACTCCCAACCGTTGGGAAACCGCAGAAGGACAGCGGGCAGGAGGCTTGGGGTTTAGGATTTAGGGTTTAGGGCTTAGGGTTTAGGATTCAGGGTTGAGGGCTTGGGGGGGGGGGGGGTATAGGGTGTAGTATCCAATACCTTGCAATGAGGTATATACCTTGAGAAGTAGTAGTTAGTACATATTCTGAGATTTGGGGTATTGGGCTCTATGGGTCGCATGAGTATGTCGTGGCCTGCGAAAGAGCATATGAACCAGATGATATCAGATGTAGACAGTTCTATTTTCGGAATTGTTGGTATCAACCCTCCCTCCCCCCCCCCCCCCCCCGCCAAACAAAAATGAAGAAGAGGAGCTGCACCTCAACCTTTGGGCTGACCCCTAAACCCTCAACCCTAAACCCTAAACCCCAAATCCTAAACCCTAAACCCTAAACCCTAATCCCTAAACCCTAAACCCTAAACCCTCCCGGTGAAAGGTGGCGCCGTCCAGGCCGAGCTCGAGGCGCAGTTCGGCTCGGACGTCGGAGCTGTCGTGGAGCAGCTCGCGCGCGCGGGGATGTATGGCTGAGCTGAAAAGAGACGGTTTTAGGGTTTAGGGTTTAGGGTTTAGGGTTTAGAGTTTAGGGTTTAGGGTTTAGCGTTTAGGGTTTAGGGTTTAGGGTTTAGGGCTGAAAAGAGCTTTGCTCGGGCTGCTGCTGGGCCCCGGGGCATCCTGAAGCCCTGTGCCCTTTAACGTTTATAAGCCAGATGAGCCTGATAGATCTTCGATCCTGGAGATGCCTCACCCTAAACCCTACACCCTAAACCCTAAACCCTAAACCCTTAACCCTAAACCCTAAACCCTAAACCCTAAACCCCCAAGCCTTCGGGGTTCCAGAATGCACCTTCACCTGCTGCCATCTTGTTGCAAAGCGAACCGTCGAGGTCTGAGACTTTGTTTGGCCTAGTAGCCCAGGGGTACCCTTTGCCCTTTTTTGGGGTGTTCAAGGTTCCCTTACAAGGTAACCAACCCAAAAAAGGGTGCCCTTATTCTAGTATGGTTACTGGGCTACTAAGTTGGGTTTCCGGGGGCATTCAGGACCGCCCCTTGATTCTGCCATTGCTGCCTGACCCCCGATAGTTGCAAGCCGGCTGCAGTACATTCTCCAGTGGCTGTCCACACTAAGCCTGAGCCCTAAACCCTAAACCCTAAACCCTAAACCCTAAACCCTAAACTTCTCACAAAATAGCAACGCACCTGCGGAATCACCTGCGGAGCCAGTCCTTGCAGGTTCCGAGTCGAGAAAGGAGGGTACGTATACCTTAGCCCCCAAACACAAACTCTGTACGATTTCCCTAGACTTCCAGGGGACCGAACAATTAGGTTACTAGGGACCCTAAGGACCCCAAAATTCGGTCCAACCCTAACCCTAAACCCTGAACCCTAAACCCTGAACCCTGAACCCTGAACCCCGAACCCTGAACCCTGAACCCTGAACCCTGAACCCTGAACCCTAACTAACCCGAAACCCGAAACCCTAAACCCCAAACCCGAAACCCGAAACCCTAAACCCCAAACCCCAAACCCCAAACCCTAAACCCTAAACGTTATAAAGGACCAGCAAGTTTTGCGAGGCTGCCTCCGCCATGCGACCCAAGCCAAAGGCCTCCTCTTCGCCACTGCTACGTGTTTTGCATGCTCCAAGATAGGGCCCCAAGATAGGGTTTAGGGTTTAGGGTTTAGGGTTTAGGGTTTAGGGTTTAGGGTTTAGGGTTTAGGGTTTAGGGTTGTCTGTAGGGGAGAAGGTTTTTTTGCCGGGAAGGCCCAGGAAGGTTCGTGATAGACTCTGAAGGATTGATACTAAACCCTCAACCTATACGATCACGATTTTGAGATTTCCCTCCACAAGGTGTCGAATGCGACAGAAGGGGTTCCGGCATGATTCTAGATGTAAAACAGGCCTTGATCACCAGGGCTTGACTGAGGCCTTCCCAGGCAAATCAGTGATTAGTGGTTTTTGGGTTTTAGGGTTGAGAATGTGGTTGCACACTGTCCTCTCCTTGGTTGATGATATGTTGGGCCTGTATCCAGTCTGCTCTGGTTAGGCCCTTGAGATATGTTACATGTTCCCTTATTGGGTGTGAGAGGATCCCATGTCAGATTTTCTTCGGAGGGTTTAAGGGGCCAGCCTAGTCCTCTTCTGCAGGGTGTGCCTGAGGTCTAGACCCTAAACCCTCAACCCTAAACCCTCAACCCTAAACCCTAAACCCTAAACCCTCCAAGTGAGGTTGCGCCTCCAGCAAGCCTTGGATCCCATGGTTTGGGGTTTAGGGTTTAGGGTTTAGGGTTTAGGGTTTAGGGTTTAGGGTCCAGGGCGAGAGTCGAAACCCAACTTGAGCCGAGGCTCTGAGCAACCGGATTCCAAGTAAAGGGCGCGGTTAGATCAAGAGCCAGTGCCCCACCGTCCGATCAAATCACCCACACACATTGCGACAGATGGCAGCAGATGCAACACACCGTTCAAGATCTGAGCATCGAAACCAACCCCAACCCCTCTGCTTCGCAGTGCGGGTGGCGGCAAGACACTCTGCTTCGTGGGTGGCACAAAAAAAATACCTGAACCCTAACCAAACCCGATCTTTCTGGAGGAAGCACCTACTAAACCGCCCACGATGCCGCAGAAAGAAGACAGGCGAGGCGTTGGACCATCTTCTTGGGGTTCCCTAAAACCCTAAAACCCTATAGGTTAAGGGTGTAGGGTTTAGGGTTTAGGGTTTAGGGTTTAGGGTTATATACCTTAAACCCTAGACCTCCGTCAAGAACTGCGAGCCACATCCCCTTGGAAGAGGAACCTCCTTAGCAAGGATGTTTTAAGTTGAGAGCTTGTGTACTTCAAGGTTCATGGGTACTTTTAAGTCAGGTCAAACAAAGGTAAAAACCAGAGTTACCCTACCAACAGCCGTATGTACAAGTGCCCATGAACCCTCAAGTAGCCCTAAAACCCTAAACCCTAAACCCGAAACCCTAAACCCGAAACCCTAGGGTTTATAGGGCCTCGGGGCTCCGAATGCCAAAGTCGACTAAAGTTCCGCAACGCGGTTTAGGGTTTAGGGATTGGGGTTTAGGGTTTAGGGTTTAGGGTTAGAACCCTTCAAGCCCACAGCCCTGAACGGAAGCTGCGGGTTTTTTTGCGAACCTACGTTTTCAGGTTTAATTCGTGCCCTTCTAACCCTAAGCCCTAAAACGTATAAGTAGGATGACTTTGGTTACGACTTTATTTAGGGTACTTATAAGGCAGAACTCTACTTGACAAGTACCCCAGAGCCCTTCAAGTCAGCCCTTGGGATCGGTTCTATTTTCCCTGGTTCGGTTTTCGGGTTTAGGATTTGGGGTTTAGAGGGTTTAGGGTTTAGGGATTATGAGGGTGGTCTCAAGTTTGTGGGCTTGAGCTTTCAAGTGACAGCCCATCCGCACTACCACCCATCCTTACTCGCCCTCACCCCGGAGAAGGCTTGACGAAGGGTTACGTGGGTAAGCAACGGTTTAGGGTTTAGGGTTTAGGGTTTGGGGTTTATAATTAGGGTTTAGGGTTTAGGGTTTGGGGGGAGTGGCAGAGGATTTCTGCGCACTGAACTTTCAGGCTGCGAAAGTCCTCTTAGGCGCGAAGCCCTAAGCCCTGAACGCACCCAAAACGTCCCACAAACCCGAACATCTCCCACCGCCCGCCGTTTATCTGGGTTTGGGGTTTAGGGTTTAGGGTTTAGGGTTTAGGGTTCTGGAATCCCAGTTCCCTACAGTACGTGTATTTCCTGGGCCCGAGCGGCAGAACTAACGTTAAACACACGTGAGCCCCGGTTTGAGCACCCTAACTAGAAGGGGCTCCGACCCCTAAACCCTAAACCCTAAACCCTAAACCCTAAACCCTAGACCCTAAACCCTAAACCCTAAACCCTAAACCCTAAACCCAACAGAGACCCCAACTTTGCTGAACTGCTCTTCCGACAGGCGATGGGCGGATGAGATCGCGGCGAAACGCCGGGCCATGGCGACGAAGGCGATTGGAGCCCTCAATCCCTAAACCCTAAACCCTAAACCCTAAACCCTAAACCCTAAACCCTAAACCCCCTACCCCCTAAACCCCAAACCCTCTGTATCGCATAGCTGTCCACGACTTGCTTGAGGGTACACTTCCCCTCGAGCTCATCGCAGGGCTTAGGGATTTAGGGATTTAGGGATTTAGGGATTTAGGGATTTAGGGATTTAGGGATTTAGGGATTTAGGGATTCTCTAAACTAGGGTCACTTTTGTGGGCGCTTGTCTCCTTTCATGAGGAAATCCATTCTCAGCCATACTTATGAGACCCAAATTGTTTTTTGATAGGGCCTACTTCTTCCTAAACTTCCAGGGATTAGTGCCCCGTAAGGACCCCATAATTAGGTCCTTGGAAGGATAGGGTGTAGATTGAAACAGGGCCTACTTAAACCCTAAGCCCAAGCCCTAAACCCATTTCGCATTTGCAGACTTTTAGAGAGGCGACACACTAGTTAACCATGCACAAAGGCCGGCCCAGAAATCCAGGGGATATGCCCTAGACCCTAAGCCACACTAAACCCTAAACCCCAAACCCCAAGCCCTAAACCCTAAACCCCAAACCCTAAACCCTAAACCCTACACCATCCCAAGCACGGCGCAGGATCCCAGGCAGTCGCGGCAGACGTACGTGATTGCAGCTTGCCCAAACTAGGATGCCCAGTAGTACCCTTATTCCCTTTTTTGGGGGTTTAGGTTCCCTTATAAACCCCTTTAAGCAAAAAAGGGCACCCTTTTTAAGCCTTGGTTACTGGGCAGCCTAGCAAAGCATGGTTTGGCCTGCCTCGCGGGCGTTTGGGTTTTTTGGGTTTTTTGGGTTTTTTGGGGTTTTGGGGTTTTGGGGTTTAGGGGTTCAGGGGTTGAGGGGTTCAGGGGTTTAGGGGTTTTGGGGTTTTGGGGTTTAGGGGTTTAGGGGTTCAGGGGTTTAGGGGTTTAGGGCGACTGTGTCCACCAGCCTCAAGCACAGTGCCCCCTGTGCTCTTCTTCCCCCCCAGAATCGGCGACTTCTTTGAGCCATCTCGTTGGGGGACTGGGGTGTGTTTATGGGGTTGAGGGAACATCTGCTCCCAAACCGACTTTACGTGCCCAAGCTTGCAACTGAAACCCTAAACCCTGTACCCGAACAGCACCGTGGTTTCAAACGCCTTCGGGATTGGGCTGCTACTTTGCGGGTTCTGGGCATCTGTGCTGTGTAAGGAGAAGGAGGCGGGCGAATCCGACTGCTCCTTCTACGCCTTCAAGAAGTGCAACGGCTTCGAGCGACAGTTTCTCGTGCAGGGTTAGTTTGTGCTGTCGGCATGAGGATGTTTTTGTGTACAGGCTGCTCCCTGTATTTGGCAGGTCAAAGGGTCTACGATTTGCAGAAACATGCCCCCTGAGGATGCATATCAACTGCACATAAACATCATACGTACCGGCACATGACTCAGTGACCTACCTGCCTCCCTTTAGCAGTGAGATGACTTCCCAGCCCGCAAATACAACAAAGCAACGAAACTACGCCCGGTCCTGTAACCCTCACCCCGGAACCCTAAACCCGAAACTCTAAACCCAAAGCGAACAGGAGCCTTAACCCCACCCTAAACCCCAAACCCGTAAACCCCTAAACCCCTAAACCCCTACACCCCTAAATCTCTAAACCCCTAAATACCCCTAAACCCTAAACCCTAAACGTTTAGATTTATAGGGTTTCGGCCTTGAGGTTCATCAACCAGCAGCGGAAGGATAAGAGGAAGAAGGCTGTGCAGCGGGTGCCGGGGCTTCGGCAACTGTAGGTGCCTTGATAATTTTAGTAGGGTTTTGGGGGTCATTGTAGTATAATTTTATAAGGGACTGCAGGGAATAGTATTCGTACAATTATAAACGGGGCTATAAGGGAACATTAGTAGCAATTATTCCGACACCGATATAACGTGCATCTTCTTAACGCTCGTAGAATAGGCGCATCATCATCTGCCACGTTCTTTGGTGGGTTCCCGTATTCAGTAGCTTATTATCAGTTGATTTAACTCTCGATTTAAGGGTTTATGTGTGTATGTCATCTTGTTTTTTTTTTTTTGGGGGGGGGGGGGGGATGAAGGGCCTGTAGATAAACCCGCATGCACACACACACACACACACATATATATATATATATATACATATATATGTATACATATATGTATGTTTTGCGTACATACAAATAAACATACATGTATGTATATATGTATATATGTATATATGTATACATAAATAAATATATAGATAAATAAATAAAAATATATATGTATATACATATATTTTTGTATGTGCGTGCTGCTCTTAGCCCGAGTTGGAGGGCGCTTGGGGGTGGAAAGGGCCCAGCCCTCGGATAGGAAGGAGACTTGGCCAGCCGTGATGTTTCTTTAGGGTTTAGGATTTAGGGTTTAGGGTTTAGGGTTTAGGGGGGGTGGGGGGGAGCGGATTTTGGCTAGGAAATGGGCATTTTGCTGTTCTTGTAGTATATCTCATCGCCATAACGATTAGGAGCTCTCTAAGGGGGTAGGGCACTCATCGGTATCCGTTTCCCTTTTCTGAGGCTCCTTTGCCGATCCTGATATGCGCCCAGAGAGAGAGCCCAATACCCTCTCGCTAAGGGTTTAAGGGTTTAAGGGTTTAAGGGTTTAAGGGTTTAAGGGTTTAAGGGTTTAAGGGTTTAAGGGTTTAAGGGTTTAAGGGTTTAAGGGTTTAAGGGTTTAAGGGTTTAAGGGTTTAAGGGTTTAAGGGTTTAAGGGTTTAGGGGATACGATGAGCATCCGTGGTATAAAGTTTCGGGCCAGGCCCTGGAAACTGCATTTCATATTGCCCTGGAAGGTTGAGTTGTGAATACCTCAAATCCCAAGCGTCTTAAGGGTTCGAGCAGAGTGCTTCCGCGAACCCCAAGACGTTGTGATCCTGAGATGCCAGAGGAGCTCCCTAGCACGCCTCGTAGTTCTTTTCCTTCTTCAGGCGTTTAGGATCCCTTCTAAACCCAAAGTGGACAGACATGAAGCCTAAACCCTGAACCTTTCTGGGCTACAGAAGGGAACTGGCACACACCCAGCCTTGTCAGGGAGTCAGCTCGAACACTACGTCACCAAGGGTTTAGACTCAGCTTTTGGGGACTATATGATATAGCCGACATACCTTGCAATGTTCTCCCTTATACTAACAGTCCTTGATACGGGTTATACTAGGGGGTTACTAGAACTCCCATGAAGGACTGTTAGTGTAAGGGTGAACATCCCAATAAACAAACTCAAAACCCGCGCATGTCTGGGCTCGAACCTATGAGTTCGTTTGCACTTGATCATTCATTTCCTATCTCTCTCCAAGTAGCTGCTGCCATGACCCAGAACCCGGCGTGTGGGCAGGCTGTGCCATACCTCCTGGGAAGGCTTACGCCGATGGAGGCTGTGTGGCAGCCTCCTGTCTGCCAGCCTCTTGCATGCCCGGAGTATGCGCAGCCTGTGCCACACCTCGTTGGAAGGCTTACGCCGATGGAGGCTGCGTGGCAGCCTCCTGTCTGCCAACCTCCTCCTGTCTGCCAGCCTCCGGCCTGCCAGCCTCCGGCCTGCCCGCCTGCTGTCTGCCAGCCTCCTGTCTGCCAGCCTCCTGTCTGCCAGCCGGCTCTTTGCCAGCCTCCTGTCTGCCAGCCTGCTGTCTGCCCGCCTGCTCTTTGCCAGCCTCCTGTCTGCCGGCCTCCGGCCTGCCAGCCTCCGGCCTGCCAGCCTCCGGCCTGCCAGCCCATGATTTCTTTGCCGACAGCGTTCACCTCACAGCCATACAGCGGCTACATGAGTTTGAATCAATACGGGGTACCGTCTCAGGAGCCGCCTCTGGTGATGGCACCGAACCCAATGCATCCATGTGAATGTGCTCCACCGCTCGTTCAAGCTGCAGTTCCCCTTGAGTCTGTGGCCACAATGACAAAGCAACAGCTGCTCTTGAACCAATTCCTACAGCCACCAGATGCTTCAAACTCCGAGGCTTCCGACAAGCCAGGCAAGCCATCCATATCCGGAAGCAACTGTGGAAGCAACCCTGACGGCCTGGTCTCAGGCAGTGCTGGAGGGCAGGAGCCAAGAGGCAGAAATGCACAACCCTCCCACAACGCGCAGCAGGTGGCTAGCCTCTTTGACGATGGCAAGACGACGGTCATGCTCCGCAACATCCCCAATCGATACAGCTGTGAGGAGCTCCTGAATGAGGTGATGCTGGCCGGGTTCGAGGGCAAGTTCGATTCTAGGTCGAACCAGGGGGAAATGGTTGACATTTCAATGTCAGGGGTTTCCTACGGGATGCTTAAGAACCCTTAAGAACCCCCCGCCCCCCCAAATAGAAATATTCTTCCTTATAAGATCTTATAAGAGTAACATGGAGATTATTGCCTTGTGTTTTTTGGTGGGTTCTGAAGCAACTAGTAGCTTCACGCAGCAACCCAGGACTTCTTCTACCTTCCCATGGACTTCCACACCAAGCGAAATCGCGGCTACGCTTCTCGGATGCCCATGAGCGCTTTAGTGTTTTGGTGGGTTAGAATCCTTACTTGGAGGTTCATCCATAAGTAGGGTTACAAGTAGGGCAACTGTGGTTAGATCCTGATTAAGGACCTTGTAAGGCTACTTATAAATGAACCCTAAGGGTCCATAGTAAATACCTGGGCCTTGAAGAGGTTCACATATATTTGCTTTAGGGCCCAAGTATATCCTACATAGGTACATGGGCCCTTAGGGATCCCCCTTTTTTGAGTCCCTTTCTTGTGCTACATGAAATCACATATATATATATATATATATATACAGATACACACATAAGCTTAGCCTTTTTGTTGGGGGGGCTAGGGTATTTAGCCCCTAAGCCTTGTTGAGGCCAAGAACCCTGGACCCTAAACCCTAAACCCTCAACCCTAAAGGCCTTCGTCAACTTCTGCTCGGGCCGGGTGGCTCGTGACTTTGCCTTGGCCTTCCACGAGCAGCGACTCCGCGACGCCAGGAAGCTCCTGGCGCCTCGGGATCCATTAAGGCCCTAAACCCAAAACCCTAAACCCTAAACCCTAAACCCTAGACCCTAAACCCTAAACCCTAAACCCTAAACCCTAAACCCTAAACCCTAAACCCTAAACCCTAAACCCTAAACCCTAAACCCTAAACCCTAAACCCTACCTGAATCTCCATTTACCTACTATGCTTTAGGAAGGGGAAGGTTATGCCCCTATATAGAACGGGTCATAACCTACCATGCTGTAGGGTTTGGAGTCACAGGCAAATACCCTGAACCCCTTACTGAACCCTTTGTTGACCACTAAACTCTTAAGCTCTAAACTCTTAAATCTCTCAAACCCTTTTTTGACCCCTAAACTCTTAAACTCGAAACTCTTAAGACTCTCAAACCCTTGTTTGACCCCTAAACTCTTAAACTCGAAACTCTTCAGACTCTCAAACCCTGGATCATGCCCTAAACCTGCATCTGACAGTCCCCCTGGAGGCCCTCACAGCGGGATGAATTGCATTCTTTTCTGGTTTAGGGTTTAGGGTTCAGAGTTTAGGGTTTGGGGTTTGGGGTTTAGGGTTCAGGGTTCAGGGTTTAGGGTTTAGGGTTCTAAATCTCCATGGGGGGACCTCTTGACTTGGAAGGAAGCGGGGCTCTCCAATGAGCTAACCCTGACATCCCTTATACCGTTATACCGATTCAATCTCGGACCTCATCAAAGCCAAACCCTAAACCCTAAACCCTATACCCTAGAAACTAGAAACCCTAGAAACCCTAAACCCGGTTGTTGAGTCCCCAAGGAGGTGGCTCCTGCGGTGACGCAGGGCTATCAGGCGAACTTTGCCAAGTACTTCACCAAGGCTTCCAGCCGCATCAAGAACGACTGGTTCAGGCCCATGCTCTTCACCTGCGAAGCTTAGCTGAGTGAGTTTAGGTTTTAGGGTTTTTGCTGTAGGGGAGTACGCTCTACACTTTGTTGGGGATACTATAACCCCTTTTGGACTGAAAGTGTGCACTCTTTTTTGGGGGCTGATGAACTCAGCAGCTAAGGAAGCCAATGAAGCCATCGAGTTGGACTGAAACGATTGAGGGGCTCGTGCCCCGCCACAAAGGCCGAATTTAGGATTTATAATTTAGATGGATAGCTTATTTTTGCGCGAGCTGCAGTCAAAGCCTACATGTGTGTGTAATGCACTGCGCAATTCATCCTTGGGTTTAGGGTTTAGGGTTTAGGGTTTAGAGTTTAGTGTGTAGTCCCTGTCGTCTGCCAATTTGCCTGCGGCCACGTACCCAGAATTCGCTGAAAGGTTGTACTGTCCCTGACTGTCGTATAGGGATTAGGGTGTATGGTGACAGAATGACCTGGGTGGCTAACATTAGTGCGGCAGGGTTCTTGGACAAATGACGGTACACACCTTCAACACATGTGGCTTGCGTTTTCGCTCTTTCTCTTAGGGTCCATGTACCTTATTATGATATGCTTAGGCCCCAAAGTCCCTATATAGGAGGTACTTTAAGCCCCAAGTATTCCTTATCTATAGGTACATGGACCCTTTGGGTTTGCACGACGTGCCAGTGTCATGCTGCTTGTGCCTTTAAGGGCTTTGTGGCCCTCAGCCCTGGTCCTTTGAGCAACTCAAAGTACCTGGTTGTGCACGCCCGGGCAAGAATTTACGCTTCCGACGATGACGACAGACAAAAGGACGCAGGAGACGGCTCCTTTACATGGAAGCCATAGCTACGTAGATCCCCCGCCCTCGCCCTGCGGGCCCCAAACCCTAAACTCTTAGGGTGTTTTTCAGAGGGTTCAAGGACCAACCTTAAGCCTTGGCTTGGGGATGTTGTGCTTTGGGCACAGTCCAAGACGTGTCATCACAGTCAAGTAGTTTCCGTGCTGCACTGCATGCACCGCATAGCTTGGTACCTGGGATTCTGGGTTTGGGGTAGGGTTTAGGATTTAGGGTTTAGGGTTTAGGGTTTAGGGTTGAAATCTTCGAAATTCAGCGAGCGGCTCTTTTTGCCAGATCGAAGAAGACATCGCTTACTGGGAGTCCGAGATTGCCAGAGGTGCGCATTCTGAGTCGCAAGTTGCCCGCACCGAACTTTTTTCGAGGGCTTCTCTGGTGTTACAAGCCTAGGGTAGGTTTGGGGACCCTTTTTTTTGCATGGCTTCGTAGGGATTAGATAAAGTTTAGAAGGGACTAGAAATTAAATATGTGTTTCAAATCAACCCCTGAAGCAAGAAGCAAAGCGCAACTGCAGTGTTGCCAACAGAAAACTTCTCCCAATGCTTGAGCATGTGCGGGAAGCTCAGTGATGTCGTCCACTGTTTGTTTTGCTTTCAATACCACTTTGACAGAGAATGTCCCGATGCATTAGCCTTGTGATCCCTAAACCCTAAACCCTAAACCCTAAACCCCAAACCCCAAACCCCAAACCCCAAACCCCAAACCCCAAACCCCAAACCCCAAACCCCAAACCCCAAACCCTTTTCTATGACTCCGTGCTTAACCTTGAGCCTCTCCCTGGAAGGGTCATGCCGATGTGCCGGCAAGACAGGGCAAAGACACAAGCCATGCCCTCCAGGGTTAGGGTTTAGGGTTTGGGGTTTGGGGTTTAGGGGCTGCCGTTTTGTTCCACTCTTGCTCGTTCCCCTTGGCAGGTGTCACGTCTACACCTCAAGGCCAGATGAGGCGGGAGCCCTAAACCTGACACCTTTAAACCCTAAACCCTAGACCCTAGACACTAGACCCTAAACCCTAAACCCTAAACCCTAAACCCTAAACCCTAAACCCTAAACCCTAAACCCTAAACCCTAAACCCTAAACCCTAAACCCTAAACCCTAAACCCTAAACCCTAAACTTAACTCTAAAGCCCAAACCCCTAAACCCTAATTCTCCCGTCGTCTTCAGGCTCCGGGACGTACGGGATCAAGGGGCATCCCTGGGGGTCTTGAGGCTTGATGAGTGGCCCTGGGCTCGGTTTAGGGTTTAGGGTTTAGGGTTTAGGGTTTAGGGTTTAGGGTTTATAAGTTTAGGGTTTATAAGTTTAGGGATCAAGATTTTGAGCAGAAGCCCAGACATATTGGGCTCGGAGAAGTTGCAGAACAGCGCCCCCGAAGATGCCACCCCCGCCTCTGTTATATAGTAGTGGGAGTTGAGTCTTAGTAGCTGAGTAGATAACCTTCAACCTTTTGGGGTATACAGAACCCTACCATAATTGAAAGGTTAACCTTCTGGGGGGTCAGGGTACTCAGCAACTAAGGAGTGGTTGTTAGGGTTTATACCTCATACCTCGCGTGTTTAGGGTTTAGGGTTTAGGGTCTGGGGTTGAGGATATCAGCTTCAACTCGTGTTTCTTCTGTGTTCAGGGTTATGTAGGGCAGCTATGGCTTGTAATCTTGTCTAGGGTACATCTACCCCTAAACCCTAAAACCCCTACTTCTAAGTGCCGAAACGAACAAGGGTCAACACTTTCACGGCTACTCAGGAAGCGCCAGGTGGGGGATTGTTCTCTAGGTACATGTTGCTTTGCTTTCAGCCAACACATGCAGTCGATCAGGCACTTTTGGAACTGATGAGTGAAGACACCCAGCAAGAGTCAGCCCCGGAGACCATGGGGCAGCTATCAGCTGCAAGCTTGTGCCCGGCAGACAGCTCTAAGAGTGCTGAGAGGGCTGGAGATGACGATGAGACCCAAGCCGCTCATGAGTTCGTGGAGAGCTCTATGGACTTCACATGTGCTGGCACACCGGATTCCGATGAGATGCTTGGCGCTGCTTCGGAGGGAGAGATGTCCCAGAATGATGTGAAGCACGAGGATGAGAATGACGAGGACCTCCGTGATGATAACAGGGAAGTTTGGGGTCTAGGGTTTAGGATTGAATTATGGTCTGGGCTGTTTATGTTTTGGGGCTTTAGCGTTTATAGGGCTTGACTTACAAAGTGTGAGTGTGCTTGTTGTTCGACTTTGCGTACGTAACCTTTTAATGACATTTGCAGCTCAAGGTCTGAAAACCCCTGCAAAGCGACAGGCAACTCCGAAAAGCAACGTCCCTCCGCCCCGCAACCCAAACTCTGTAAAGCGACGGGGAACACCCAGAAGCGACGCCCCTTGTTGTGCGACCTAGGCCCCGACATGTGGAGTTTGGACGGTCGCTAGAAGGTACTTCTAACCCGGAACCCTAAGCCCTAATTAAACCTAAACCCTAAACACTAAACCCCAAACCCTAAACCCTACTTCTAAGTGCTCAAATGAACCTTCAAGTAGGTCTGGCTCAGCAGGTACAGCACCATGGTGAGGATCTTGAAGGAGTTCGTCCAGCTCGCCCTGGCTGTGTTTTGCTGTGGGTTTAGGGTGAGGCCCTAAACCCTAAACCCTAAACCCTAAACCCTAAACCCTACACTCTACACCCTACACCCTAAACCCTAAACCCTCAACCCTACACCGAAACCCTAAACCCCCCTAAGAATCCTAAGAATCCTAAAACCCCTACGAATCCCAAGATCCCTTGGAAAGTGCCTTTGTTGTCGAGTTGCAGAATTCGTTTTTCAGACCCCCCAAATAGTAGGATCCCCT